AAACCGGTGCTGAAATCGCGTCTAAAGAGGCTCTTTGACCGGCAGTTACCAAACGTGTTGCGGATTTCCTCTGCGGACAAAGCACCAGATAGTGAAGCTCCGTGTGGGAATAACAGTAAAGATGATCAGTTTGAGCCGAGCTCGGTTTGTTTGGCTAAAATGGTGCAGAGTTACATGGAGGAATCCAACGACAAGCCATTTCGGGGCCGCCATCGCTGCAATTGCTTCAATGGCAACGGCATGGACAGCTCGGATGATGAATTTGATGTCTTTGGTAATGGTTTTGGGGAATCAATGGGTACGGCTCCTTCTGGTGATGCCTGTGATTTTCTCAAGGTAAACAAAATCACTTCAATTGAACTCTTTCTTCTTGTATGTCCATATATACGCATAAATAGATTATTTTCTGAAAGAAATGATCAGAGAGAGCTAAAATAACAGTGACTTGTTTGGTTGGTTTTTAAAAATTACAGAGTTTGATTCCTTGCGCGAGTGTTGCGGAGAGAAATCTATTAGCAGACACTGCAATGATTTTGGAGAAGAACAAGAATCACAAACAGAAAGACGGTTTTTTGAGAAAGATCGTAGCAGATGGATTGGCATCTCTCGGCTACAATTCTTCTATTTGCAAATCAAAATGGGACAAATCTCCCTCTTCCCCTGCCGGTACATGTACAATTCATCCCGTCTTTGATTTTCTTATAAAAAATTCGAATTTTGTTTTAATTTTGTTCTCTGATTAGGTGAGTATGAGTACGTGGATGTGATAGTTGAAGGAGAGAGATTGTTGATCGATATCGATTTCAGATCGGAATTTGAAATAGCGAGATCGACCGGGGCCTACAAGGCGATCCTGCAATCGTTGCCGTACATCTTCGTCGGGAAATCTGAGCGGCTTGGACAGATTGTGTCGGTTGTCTCGGAGGCAGCCAAACAAAGCTTGAAGAAGAAAGGCATGCACTTTCCTCCTTGGAGAAAAGCGGAGTATATGCGTGCTAAATGGCTCTCACCTTGTACCAGATTACACGAAAACGTTTCGAACAACAACAGCAACGAAACTGAAGAGCTAAAAGAGGAGTTTCCAGAGAGTGATGATTGTTGTGGGGAGTTCGAGCTGATTTTCGGAGAGAATTCGACGTTAGATTCCGAATCGTCCATTTCGTCTCCTGAGAAAAGTTCCGGTGAGGGCGAGAAAGTGAAGGTGAGTACAGTGGCGTGGCAGCCACCGGCGGTGAAATCGAAAGGTGTAGAGAGAGGAGCCAGGATGGTGACTGGATTAGCTTCTCTTCTGAAAGAGAAACCATAAAAAAATTTTGGAATTTTTTGAGGTATAAAAAATATAAGTTTTATATATAATTATAAATATATCCTTTTTTCCCCTTCTTTTTTTTTTGTTTGCGAGGTGAAGGGTTGTTTGTAATCTGAGGCGGGTGAATCTATCGTCGATGTAATAAATTATCGATGATGTAAATATTAAAACAATGTAAAAAAAAAAAAGTTAGAAAAAAAACTAAAAATATAAAAGCACCCGAGGATCGATCCTCGTTTCTCTAAATGGCAGATACTGCCTATTAAAAAATGGGGGTCTCATGCCCATTTTTCTTGGGTATTGTTTCTATAATGGGAACAAAGGAGGATGAAACTTTCCTTTTTGTTTTGTTTTTGTTGTTGTGAGTATCTCATCTTTTTAGGCAAATTACCTTTTACAGATTCTTTATTTTTAAATTTTCGTAAGTGGTGGTGTTTGGGGTATGTTATTATTGTTGTTGATGACGGACGGCAGTGGCTCGTGGAATCTCGAACGCCGCGAGGAGGCAAATAAATCGTTCACCGGAATGGCGTGATATTCTCTTTAGCTTCCCATGGATATATTTTTCAAATTTGCACACTTTGACCATAACATATATATTTTTTTTAATGAAATAACTCATTTTTATCTTATCACAATTCAAAAGAACAATATTTACTAAATATTATTATTTTTTAAGTATGAAAAAATGATTTATAGTGTTTGAAAAATATAATAAATTAACATGTTATGTTTCAGAAGCAACATGATTTATCATGAAATTTAAATTCCTCCTCAAATTGAAGAAAATATACATATATATATCTGTCCTCTATAATAAATTAATTAAACACTTGTATTTTTGCCCTTAAGACACAAAAAATTTGAATCCATCATAAGATGTTTTTCTCTTCAAAATTCATTATTGACGCTGCCTTCCAAGCATTTTATAGTCCGACAAGCATAATTTTGAAACCTGAACTGATTTGGTGGGTTGACTTGGTCATGGACTTGATCCGGATCTAAGCAAAAACCTGCTTGGGAGTTGGTCATGGACTTGATCCGGATCTAAGCAAAAACCTGCTTGGGAGTTGGCCCGGCGAGTCTACCTGAAACACGGTCGATCTAGGTAAACCAACTAAGACTCAAAGTTTTTTTTTTAATATATATATATGTGCAGCAACGTCGTTTTGACATTTTAATTATAGAACGCCAAAACAATTAACAATAAAAACAGAAATGAGAATTAAAAGAACTTAGAAATCTTCAAAGCCATTTTAGTAGTAAAAAAAGCAGAGGAGCAGAAGAATCTGGATAGCTATTTCAAATTTACGATAAATAAAGTTGATGTTACTTGTACTCACATCTCTTCATAGCAGCCGACAACCATATAGAGACTTTTCTCTCTTATTTTGTCGCCCACATTCATGCATACTTTGTTTGATATGTGGTGAAATCAAACAAATTCCTACGCTACCTGTCAATTAGTAGAGTAATTAGGAGGCTAATTGCGTAGAGAGTCTTCATAGTTTGGTAGACAATCTCTCTATATGATGGAAGTGCGAGGGGGGGGATTTCTCTCTATGTGATGGAAGTGCGAGGGGGGGGATTTCTCTCTATGTGATGGAAGTGCGAGGGGGGGGATTTCTCTCTATGTGATGGAAGTGCAAGGGGGGGATTTTAACTCTCTTTTAATTTGAGGTAAACAATAAAATGTGTGAGTATCTGTAGTAGGTTGTGTCATTTAATGACTTGTATAATTGAATGAGAATTTTATCATTTCTTGGAATAATGAGAAAACGTGATGCTTACACTCAGTTTGCTTAGAGATAACATTAGTTTTTTTGGGTTGACCCTCGTTAAACCAGGTCTACCCATCCAACCCGTGACCCGATCACTGTATCAGGTTAACTATCGGGTCAGGTTTAAAACTATGCCGACAAGCAAGGTAAACATACTATATTTTTATTAAATATATGAGTTTTATATTTAATTTGTGTCTGATTTAGTTGAAATAAAATTATTATTTAGGGTTGAGGTTAAATTTAAGGCTTGTTGAATTAATGATAAATTAGTTATAAATAACATTAGTCAGGATATATTTGATATAATTAAGTTGAATTAATTAAGAATTAATTATTTTAATAAATTATGTGTTGTGTAAAATTTTGGATAAGTTGTTGAATTAATGATTTTGTATGAATTGGTTGGAATCAACTAATAATGTTATCAATTACGCTTCATGGTTTCATGTAATAAATTATGAATATGGTAACATTTTGATGAGTTACACGTTGCAATAAATTGTTGATAAGTTGCTGAATTTGATATTTTCTTTCAATTGTTTTAATTTTTTTTTAAAGAATTTGGGTTTAATAACCAATTAGATCTGATATCATGAATTATGTTTACTTTTGGTCAAGTATGTGTTTTGTTAAATTTTAGGAATTCGCTATGAATTTTGACAATTAGGGTTAGGATAATGAAATTTAGTTAAAATTATGTCCAATTGATCGGAATCCAATTTGTTTTTTTTTTCCACAAAATATCTTGTAACATATTTATGTTATATCATTATAATTATACTATTGTTTTTTATGGTAGCAATTTTATACATGTACATAAATGAAAGAAACTATTTGTCATAGACTTGGGTGAAATTATAATGATGTTGATGGTGAAATAACTCGAAGGTATCAAATTAATGAACATCTATATTATCATGTACTTATTGTTTGTCATGTACTTATTGTTTGTGATGATAGTTTTGAGACAATAATTGATTCTTTCATCCAATATGGATTAAACATGATGATATTGTATATGAGTAGTCGACTAAAATCTTTTGGCTTTTGGTTAAATATTTACAAGTCCATCATAATATGTTAGTCCTTCAAAGTCAGTTAGTAGTGGGAAATTTTTTTATTCTTAGATGATATGTTATAAAGAATCGATGATACTATGTTTGATAATTCATTCACTAATCAACATAGATTTGATTATTCTAAGCCAAGTGACAATAAAAATAATAAGACATTAGAGCCGAATATGACAGTAAATATTGATGATGATATTGATGAGATTTGAAAGATGAAGGAGAGATTGGGTGATTATGTGAGAGAAATAAGTTTAGATGGGGACAAAAGAAGAGAATAAAGGGTTGGCAGCAAGAAAAAAAGTTAATGGGAGAAAGAAACCATGAGTTAAGAAGGAAGAAAAAAAATGTTGATCAAGAAATTTGCCATCGCTCATCCAAATTTGTTGAGTGAGTTATTCTTCTATAGACTATTATAATCAATTAGTGTTTAATTATGTAAATTGAATAATTTTTTAATTATTCAAGTTAGGATTTATTGATGAAGTTTAAGGAAAATTGAAATTAAGTGTAGAATTATAAAATAAGAGTTTAATGACAATAAAACAGGTGAACATGGATGAAGGAATTTGGCTTATTGGAGACCCTTAACCTTAAGTCAAATGATAAAATATAGGGGGGAGTTCTTTCAATTTAGATTTCTATATATATTATATCATTGAATATACACTTAAGATTTTTAATGTAACTATTATAACATGTGGTACCAGTTTGAAAACATGTTAAGGTAAGAGGAATCAAAGAATGGAACATCTAGTAAGTCAGGGGTTAGGTTTTGACCAAATAAAGAATGATAAGAGGGATTTTTCTTTGAATGTAAAGTAATATATGAATATGATAAAAATGATTGCTCTAGTATAGCTCTATTAATTATGGATAAGATTTGTATTTATAGCAATTCATTTCTTCTTCCTTGTTATGGTGTGGATTGATATAGTTGACAAAATGTAACTTATATTGTAATTAAGTATAATGGAAGGAGATGATAATTTGTTGATATGAAAATATGTTAGTTAGTTAAGATGAAAGAAGAACACTAAATAAATGGTAGCCTAAGCTTCCATAATGTATGAATAGCAACATAATTAGTTGTTAAAATACAATATGATATTTTTTAAAACATATTAAACTTATCTAATTTCACATTAAACATAGTTACTCTTGCATAGGATGTCACGCGAGCAAGGTGACAAATCTTCTTCTTATGATGGGCAAACACATTACAAGGTTAACACTCCTATAAAGCATGCCTATTTTCATGGAGAGTTTGAGTCATAGCACATACCTATAAGCCCGCTGACACTTTTTTTTTTATGATTATAGGTTAAACAATGTTTGGAGGACATTTTCTCTGATATTGTAAGTATATTTAACTTTAATAAATATTTTCATTACTTAACATTAAAAGTATTATATTTTAAATTATTGTGCAAGATGAAGTTATGATTTGTTATTAGACACATAAATGAATGAAATTGTATGAATAGATTCAACCATATGTGTTTAAGACTGATTTTTTATACATTAGTTTTTTAGAGCACGACTGACACGACTAAAAGATTGATGTCTTCTCCCAAGTGCAGGAGTGTCGAAGTAATAAATAACCCGGCAAGACCGGGGTCAAACCATAGGGAGGTTAATTGTACAAATTATAAACAACAATAATAGCAATAACAACAATAACTATAATAATAATAATAATAATAATAGTAGTAGTAGTAGTAATAGTA